TTAATTGGATAGGAGACAGCATGAGGGTAGAAATACCTCCTGAAGTGGGGCAAGAGAGCTTTGCAAAGTAGGCTGGAGAGCTCGGCCTCTGTAGACTTCTGTTTTCTTCTGGCGAAATGTTGGCGTTTGTATGTATAGTTTTGTAAAGCTTGTTCTGGCTTTAAAAATTAAAGTGTATGATTCTATCATAGCATTTTTATTCATGAGTATACAGTTAAGGAGTTTGTGCTCCATATAGGAGAAAAAAATGACAGTTCTAGTTATCTAAGTGCCATTCAAAACACATTACTAAGAAAGTCTGTAGAGAATCAACATGAAGGTCTGGAGAGATGGCTTAGTAGTTAAGGGCACTGTCTACTCTTCTGGAGAACCCAGGTTTAATCCGAGCACACATATCTGCAACTCCAGTTCTAGAATACCCAGTGCCTTCCTCTGGAATCCATGGGTACTAGGTACACACATGGTACACAGATATACATGCAGGCAAAATACCCATATGCATAAAAATTAACAATTAGCTCAAAAAAGTAGAGTGAAAATATCTGTACAATTTGGTTGGGATTTTACGTTCAAGAAAGTGTTCTAAAGAGAATCATTATCATAGTTTATCTTAGCGTCTTGAACTCAGAGGGGAATTTGGCAGGCTGGTACTTCCTGTCACTCATGATAAGAGTTCCTTGAGTATCAGTCAGCTATAATGTGAACCCATTGCTCAAGCATTTCAATTAATTAATGATACAGGGCAGGTCTTCTGAATAAATATATTTGTCACAGAGTTTTTATACTAATTAAAATTTGATACTCAGCCACTTTTATTTTTTTTTAATCCTCCTCAATTCTATGTATACTTTTCTCAGCTGTGGCAGATATTTTTCTCAGTTTTAGTGTGTATGGTTTTTGGCTTAATTTTGGAGGACACAATATCTGATCACAACTGTTCCTGGGTCCTTCTGCCTATCTGCTAATCCTTGCTGGTTTGGTTTCCAATATATAATGCTTAAAGTTTCTGAAATCTTTAACATATATGTATTTTTTTATTTAAAAAGTCAGCATCAAACTTAATTTTAGTACTTATTGCCATTCATTAGTTCTTTCACTAGAGTTGTATTCTACATATTTTTTTTCTACTTTTACCAAATTTTGCCCCATCTTTGCTTATAACCTGGTCGGTTGCACAAATCTAATATGAAGTTCCCATTAGACCTTCTCTTAGAAGAAGAAAATTTATGTAAAATAAACTTTTATTCATTTTTCCCATCTGTATGGCCTGAGGCAAGGAATCATCTTCTTAAAAAAATGAGTTTCTTCTCATAATGTGGTGCCTGCCTGCCTACAGGAGAGCCCTGCTCCACTAAGTATTACCTTTCATTCAAATCTTTCTCCGTTTCTCAGCAAACTAATAACATGGTGTCAACACACCAGAAAGGGCAGGACAATGGCAGTGATTTAGGCGGATAAAAGTGAGACTGAACAATTACAGAATCACCCATATCTGCACTCCTTTTAAACACATTTTCCATTATTTTTCGAACATACATGTCATGAGTTTTTAGAATATTTTTGTTAGAAACTTAAAATTATTTTGTACTTATGTATATTTGTAGGTGTACAAGTCTGTGTGTAGGTATGTGCACATGAATGCAGGTGCCAACAGAAGAGAGAAGAAGGTGTTGGATCTCCTGGACCTAGAGTTACAGTGTAGGTACTGGGAAGCAAACTTGGTCCTGCAGGAGAGTAAAAAGTGATCTTGACTGAGACCCAACTCTCCAGCCTCCAGTTCTTTAAACTTTGGTGAGTTCTTTGGCAGCATCTTGCAGTGTTTCCATGGTTCTTTGCTTCATTATCATGACCCACTTTTTCTTGTTCCTCTCCATGTGGAGTCATTATTGATCCAATTCTGTTTTTGCTGGATGATAATCACCCTTGAGGAATATCTATGTTATTCTAGTAGACAATTACTGAACGATTGCCTTGACATTGCATAGAGTAAGAATGACACCTCAGAGGTGTCTACGATACTTCTATCTGCGGAAGACATAACTGAAACACTATCTCCCTAAAAATCCTGTCATATCTTTTTACATGTGGCACAGAAAAATGTGTGCTTCCAAAATGAAAGCAGCCCCTTTCTAGTGCTGGGGCCATAACAAAGTACAGAGAAAGCACTGAGCTGGCTAGGATGAAAGTCCAGACTTCTTCCCATGCTTGTCAATTCTCAAACCCATTGTGGCCACTTATTTCTATGCCTCAGGTTTTTTTTTTTTAATAATCTGCGTCTCTTCCCTAGCCCCAGATCCATAAGACATTCCCAGAGACTTGTAGGACTCCCTCTACAAACTCTCTTCTGCTGTGGCACACGCAGGACAATGTATTTACTGAGATAACATTTGATTAATGAGAAGACAGAGTGAGGCACATAGACATCACAGGAAAGAATATTCTGGAGGCACGAGGTGCAAAACCTAAAAGTAAAAAAAAAAAAAATCCAGTGAACTTAAGGACTTAAATGTGGCCAGTATGGGACTAGATTGGGTTGTAATAAGATTAGCCAGAGATGCATTCCGAGAGGTGTGAGAGCAGGGGTAGGACCAAGAACATGTTTGCAGCCCACAGCAGAGCTCTTGCTTTGAGAAAAAAAAAAGCCAGTTTTGAGGGGTGACATATTAATTGAAAAATGATCATTTTGGTTCCTGCATTAACTCTATGGAAGTAAGGGGAGAGGAGACAGACGGAAACCAAAACTGTGCAGTGGAGCAGTGGAGACATTACTGTAGCAAGGACCAGGGTAATATGACAGGCATGATGGGAAGCAATCAGAACAATTTCGAAGATGGAGTCAGCAGGTAGGTTACTCTGGTGGATCTATGATAGAGTGTGAAGTACAGTGTTCTGTCTTTATGAGCTCTAAGAACTCCCTGGTTTCTACTGAATGAAACAAAGTACTTCAGAAGAATTATAAAGAATATTGGAATGAGCTTTGCATCCTCATTCCTGAGATGCTTATTAGAATCCAAATAGTGTAATTCTTTTACAGTTCCAGGGTAAGCTCCATGAGAGTGTTATCAGCCTATTGGACTGGTTGTATTTAATGCTGCAGACTGGGTTGACCTTCAAAGAGTAAGGGCAGGATGAGAAGCAGTGTTTGAGCTGTGTGGCACTCCAGTTAAGTGGTTTAAGGGTATAAAGAGAAAAATATTCAGGATACTGAGACAAGCAAACTGTCTTCTGACAGACAAGTGCAAACCAGCTATGTTCCAAGAAAAATTGGACAACCAAATGTGTCATATGTGACCGGATGATAGTGAATGAGCAATGGGGAGTGATCAGGTTGTGTGCAACATGGAGCTACCGGTAATCCGGAAAGAGCTATTTCAGGAGAACGGTCAAGCAAATGATCCAAAAGATCTAAGCAGCGGAACTAGGGATGGAGTCTTGATGAGTTAGAGGGGTTCTATTCTATAAACAAGAATTAGATGGCAAGGAACATGTTAAGTGTAGTATGCCTGAAGATTACAGGCAAGAAGTAAAAGTGCGATTGTAGTTCGAGGGAGAGTAAGGCAATGCAAAATCAATTAAAGATGAAAGGAAGCACAGCGTGTTCCATGCTGGGATTGACCAATGAAGGTGCTCCTTTGGCAGCTCAAGATAAAAAGACCGAGGAGAGGTTTGGGTAATGTTTAAAGATGAGATTACCTCAGCATTACATTTTCAAACTTTATCTTTATAGATCATATTTTATAAACTATAGGGCAATTTCTAAAGATAAACTTGGGGACTAATGGGCACAAATAAGTCAATTTCCAAGTACACTTATTAATTCTTATTGGACCACAATATCCACGTTGTATCAAATCTTTGTTCTTTCTCATGTCCGTCTATTTCTACAAGGAAGAAATGAATGAAATGCTATTAGTTCAGACATTGCAGAAAGGCGCCGTGGTGCTCTAGGTATCGTAGGACAATCTGTAGCTCCAGAAGCTACAGTCTCAGGACAATGGCTTGCTTGGCAAAGAAGGGGTATCTGTATGGCTTTGGCTTCTTTCGGCTTTCAGCTTGGCTTTTGTTTACAACGTAAAGGTTATATCCAGGGAAATATATAAATACTTCAAGGGGGCTGGACTTGGCTAAATAAAGAGGATGGGAAATAAGAGGTCAGCCTGAGATACATAGTGAGACTCTACCTCAAACCAAACAAACAGCAACAATGCCAAATTCACAAGGTTCTGTTTTTCAGCATCAAGTCTCAAGCATTTAGAGGTTCCAGTCTATTCCTAATAGGGATGCAGGCGATTAATCATCTTTAACTCTAGATTTAATTGCTTTCTTTGTGAACTCTGTAAGAGGGTGGCTCATAATGTCAACAGACTAGACTGTTAGTGGTAAGTAAGTAAAATGGAGGATTAGGAAAGGAGAAAAATGCATTCTCTTCCTCTTACTTCCTTACAATAGGAAATATACCGTGACTTTTTAAAAGCAATTATATAAACAGTTACAGTAATTATATCAAAATAAAACTGTTTATAAAAATGCAAATCTCAAGGTTTTTTTTCCTTTTTCCTTTTAGCTGTTGGAATTTTATCATTTGTGTCTGCTGAATAAACAGACACATTTCTGAGCATGATGTTTGCTGCACAAAACATTTCATAGGTAAAGGGAAGCAGGGAGCAGTTTCTGAAAAAGGAATTCATTCTATACCGTGCCATGCTTGAGTACACATGTGGAAATTTCATCGACTACAGGAAAAGCCATATGCAGATATTATTCAAGGATGGTTTAAAAGGTTAGTCCCAGAGGTTTATTCCTATATCCCTTCTTGAGTAAAATATGCTACCCTGAATTGCCGCTTGGCCTTAGGTTGCATCTGGAATTACAGATGGAGGAGAAGTGATGGCCATTTTCTCCTGTCTTCCGCTCTTTTAAAATATATTTTAAAATTCCGCAAACATGAAAAGGTCATCATAATTATAGTTGATGAGAGCATCACAGCTTTAATTTCTTACCTTTGGGGAAGCCGCCTGGGGTGGGATTTGAGGTGGGCAGGTTAATGGGGGGAACAATAGATGATTAAACACAGCCTCTGACTGACAGCTGCTTCCCGACATTTGGGTTAAGTCATGAGGGAGGCGACCCAAACAGGGCAAAGGAGCAGGTTTACATGTGCTCTTCAATTATTCTTATGAGATTTATACAGCTCCATAAATGAACACCATGCTGCAATAAAAAAATATGTCAAAATCAATAGGAATTCTTGCTGTTCAATTCTTCTCCTGCATGGATTTGAATGTAGGCAATTTAAGGAGTTATTCCTTTTTTTTTTCTTGCCATTATTACTAGTTTCGCTGTCTCAAGAATTACCTTTCCTGTATAATTTTGCTTGCAAATTTAACAGTCTTCCAAGGTTTGAGCTGAAAGGAACAGAAAAGTTTCTCTTTAGTAAGTAGTAAGACATCCCAATATGAGAGTTGACGTGAACCGAGAAGCACAGGTGCAGATAAGGGGGCCTTTATGTATTCATTTGAAAATGCTGATGTTCCAGTGTTCTTTAAAAATTTCGTGAGATTGGGGGTCTTAAATTCTTATGAAGAACCTCGGATGATTTTGGGCACCAGTCAGATGAATTCAGATCTTCACATCCTGACCCTGAAGAAAAGACCCCCAGGAGAAGATGGCAGAGGGGAGATGGGTACACAGTTGAGGCAGAACGGAAATGGACTTTGAACGCTGAGAACCTCTGCATGGATTTACATTCCAAAAAGAGGAAAGCTAGAAGGGCATTCTTTATTTTTCTCTGCATAAAATTTCACATACACATGCAGATCTCAAAGGGTTCCCTTTGCAAACAAGCTGGAAATGTATTCTCCATATCAATAAAAGAGGGCAGCTAACCAGACCCCTGATCAGGAAAACTCCATGCTCAGGATGGACCCTGCCCCTATGGGGAAAGTTCTCTCTCCTTTTCTTTCTTGCTGTTCCCATTCTGCTTAGACAGTGATTCTCAACCTATGGATTATGACCTCTTGGGGAGTTGTATGACCCAGTCACAGGAGTAGCATATCAGATATCCCACATATCAGATATTTACATTATGATTCATAACAGAAGCAAAATTACAGTTATGAAGTAGAAACAAAAATAATCTTATGGTCAGGGGTCACCACAACATGAGGAACTGTATTAAAGGGTACCAGCAGGAGGAAAGTTGAGAACCACTGTCTTACATAAATAGTAAAGAGGTAGGGTAATGCAAAATGAGGCAATTTTAATGGCAAGAAATAAGCTATAATCTCTTTCTCCGACTGTTAAACAAAGATTCTGGAGCTACTGAAGAATGGTAAGCTTCTGGGTTATTCCAAGTTCATATTTTTTACAAGAAGAAATCAGCATCTAAATCAGTACCGAGATGCATGTGCTTGCGTGTTCACCTGCATCTAATTGAAAGATAATATATTTCGGTCTGTACAACTGAAATCCAGAATGTGCATGCAATGAGGAAGTGCTGTTTCAGAAAATGCCCCATAATTGATTCTTCTCCTTAAAGTAATAAAAGGGAAATAAGGGACATTGGGTGGCAGCATGGGGTTCTGCAATGGAATCACCATTTCAGTGGTAACTCTAATCCATTCTTTCTTCTTATGAAAAAATAGTGCAGTCTGTGCTTTGTATGTTATATGCATTTCTGAGACTGTGCACTTATAGGCCCTAACAAAGCTGTCCCAAGTGAATGTTGGAATTGCAGGATAGGGATGCTCTCTATTCAAGACAGTTTTCACATTTCTGCTAGCTCCCCCCAACTGTCATCATTCCATTGCATGCTCAAAACAGCCTCATTACATTTGGACATGGCTCAGTATGGTAGGGCTTACCTTGAAGGGAGAGGGCAGAATAGGCATAAGGCATGCCCGTGGCACTGACAGGGTAGGAGAAGGAGGGCTACCTTTTGAAATTTGAAGATTTTTGGACAGGTTGGCTTCAAACAATTTGTTCATTCAGTTGACAGGCATTTACCGAGAAATTACTATGTGGGGTAACTATGGCAGGCAGCAAGAACACAATGATGAGTCATAGTCCAAACCATCAGATAGATACCTCATGCAGTAGCTTTGAAGTTCTTCCCCAAGAGAACAGGAAAGGGCAGATGTCTTAGTTTAGATTTCCATTGTTGTGATAAAGACTGCAACCCAAACAGCGTGGGAAGGAAAGGGTTTATTTCATCTTACAACTCCCAGGTGACACCCCATCACTGAGGAAATCCAAGGCAAGAACATTAGCAGGAACCCAAAAGCAGGAACTGAAGCGGAGACCATGGAGGATTGCTGCTTTCTAGTTTGCTCTCCCTGGCTTGCTCAGCCTTCTTTCTTATATAGCCCAGGTCCACCTACCCAAGGGTTGTGCAGCTCATAGCAGACTGGACCCTCCCACATCAATCATGAATGTACCACAGGACTGTCTAAGCCAATCCGATAGAGGTGGGTTTTTTTCCCCCCAGTGGAATTTTTCTCTTTCCAGATAACTGTAGCTTGATGTGGGATTTCCCTCTGTGGGCTGTGAATACCATTGGTGAATAAAAAACTGCCTTGGCCTGTTAATCGAGTGTAACTTAGAAAGGTGGGGAAAACTAAACTGAATGCTGGGAGAGAGGAGGCAGAGTCAGAGAGAAGCCAAGGAACCACCAGAGACAGGTGTGCTAAAACTTTGTTGGTAGGCCATGACCTCGTGGTGATGCACAGATTAATGGAGATGGTTTAAATTAAGATGCAAGAGTTAGTGAATAAGAAGCTAGAGCTAATGGGCCAAACAGTGAATTAAATAACATAGTTTCTGTGTGATTATTCAGGAGTCTAGGAGGCTAGGAAACGAACAAGCAGACTTCAAACAACACCAGCTTGTGTTAAGTTGATATAAAGCAAAACACAACATAAGAAGCAAGCAAACAATTGCCAGAATATCAGGGAATTTAAATTTAGAGTGAGGAGGAGCAGAACGGAAGAACATAGCATTAGAACTAGGCAATGTTTTAGACAAGGAGGCCAACCCAGGGAAGTGTTAGCTAAGCAAGACCTGAGTGGTCCATGATACAAGTGTGAGTGTTCATTGGTGCATGAATGTGTGCATGTATCTCTCTGTGTGGAGAGGAGTGTGCAGACAAAGACAGGGTGAGAGGGATAATGTCATCAAATGTATTTTAGGCAGAGGGAAAGAAGCTCAAAGAAGGGGAAATGGTCCAGTTGACTGAGGCCAGGAAAGATGTGCGGACACAGTAAAAAGCAGTTCAGTGGGCCAGTGGCTCCTCAAGATTCTTCACCTATTCCTTAGAAGTTGGTATGCAATAATTCAAGGCGAATATGATACCTCTGTCTCTCCTCATTTGGCCCTCAGGGCCATACAGAAAAGTTTCAGAAAAGGGTGGATATCTGAGCCTGAGTGAGACCTCTGGGCCAAGGACACAGAGCATTTCTCAGATAAGATGAATGTTTGGCAACAGATTCAGGACTCCCTGGCACCAGGGGGAAGCAGAATCAGGCTTGTCCTACTTACATAGTTGTTAGTAAGTCTTCTAGAGGTGAAACTACTGAATTGTGTCAGATAATATTCTCCTACCTTCCCACAGGTCGATTTGTAAAGTTTGTTTCAGTACAGGTTCAAAAACTTCAAAAAGTATGATTCTTGAAAAAAGTTTGAAGTCAGTAAATATTACATTTCTTCACTCTCCCCTCCCCTGAGCCTTCAGAGATTCACTTTCAATTTGTATACCTTTGAAGATAATCTGACCTGCTTATTCACAATTCAGTATTAAAACCAAAGTAGGGCACCACTGGCTGTAGACAGAGCCTCTAGGAATTGTAACTAATGGGTAATAGTCATGAGACCTCAAACCATCACTAGACTGCAATGTACCTGCCAATGTGGGTTTTAGGTCAAAGGGCTTGTGGTACTTCCTTCAGCCAGAAAAGTCTGTTCCTTTAAGTAACTTACTAATCTTAACAAGCTTGGCAAATTTCTTACTAAGCAGATACTTTTTCAACAAGAAATTAAGAGCTTGGTATTTAATTTTCAGATTCAGAACCAGAGAACATATTCCAGAATTTATAATAGGCCATTTCCCCCAGAGGTACCATTTAATACAACTCAATGATTCGTTGTACCTTACCATTTTTGTCAACAGAGCAACTTACAGAGCAGCTTGTAATGGCATTCCTTAATTAAAATGGTGGATTATAGTAAGCCATGCTTTGTGAAATACACCTGTGTAGTCCTAAGACATAAGAGACGTTTATTGCGATGTTAGTCCTATGCAACAGTGTTTTACCATGAACATTTTGGACTATGTCCTAAAAGAATTGAAAGTTCCTCTGAAAAGTCAGGTGAATTTTCTGGTCAGCTTTTGAATAGCTTGACGACAGTAAACTTCTTTTCTCTCTGGAGTCATAACGATCAGGTTCCTCGCCTTCCATTTCTCTGTTATAATCTCTTGTGGCCACTTGAGAAACAACTGCCACTGCACTGGCATTAGGGGCAGTGAGTGAGTGAGAAATCAAACTTGAAGGGAGGTAAGCTTTTCAATCTGCTGTCAAGAAGGGAAACACTGCCCCTCCCTTCTGCTTCCACCTTTTCTGAGCCCTGGCATGGTGTGAGGTCCCCAAGGGAACACCAGTGAGTGTTTTATCTCCTCGAAGTGGGGCAAGGCTCTCCCCTCCACCCTGAAAAAACACTGAATTGTTTATTTCAGATGAGCCCTGTGCTTCTCTGCTCAACCCCAGCAAAAAAAAGAATGTTGACTAGCGTTCTTGCTGAAGACACTGGGAGAAAGCAGGGCATTGGAAGCAGGAAACGCCCTGAAGGGGGAGCCAGCAGTGTTCCAGAAAGCAAGGTGCTGATGAGATGAACTGAAATCACTTGGGATTTTACAGTTTAGAGGAATGTGTTGAAGTTCTGGGGGTTTTCTGTGGTAATGAAACACTCTCAAACTTTAAGTATACAGACATCAGAAATAGCCGGACATGGCAGCCTTGGTAGCCCTAACAGGCAGAATGATGAAAACAGGGAATCTTGACTTTGTTTATCTGTTTATCAGTCCGGCCGCCCACATGGCTAGGTTATGCCCCGAAATAATTACACGGAAATTGTCTTCTATTAAACACTGCCTGGCCCGGCTAGTTCCAGCTTCTTATTGGCTAGCTCTTACATATTGTTCTAA